TGGGTTGATTTTCCTCCTAACCCTAACCCTAACCCAACCCAACCCAACCCAACCCAAATTTGGGAATCAAAACCCGAAATTTCTTGCTTTTTGATTTCTCAGATTTGGGGTTTGCAGATTTGTCTCTTCTCCCTCCTAATTCATCGATTCTCTCTCATTCCTCACCTTAACAATCCGTAAACTCTCTCAGCTGGACATCATAAACGACATCATCAACATTAGCTATTGGAGCCCGTGATTTGCCACCTTCGCAAACTGGTGGACTTCATCCTTTGAAAATAAGAAATAGTTATCTGAGATACATGGATGAATGAACCTTCAAGATAATCCAATTGATTAATTTTACCATTTATGAGATTAGTTCACTGCAAATGGGTCTAATTTTGAACACATACAATCAATTCTTCTCTTGAATTCTTAAGTCCAAGTTAAGGATTTAATAATTAGGATTCAACGGTACCAAAATTTAAAGATTTGGGGTTTGCAGATTTGGGATGGGATGGGATGTGATGAGGTGGGGTGGATGGAGAAGACGAATATGGAAATGAGTTTTTAATTTTAATTATTTTATTATAAAAAATGTAAAATTATCATTTTAACCTTTTAAAATTAGTCAAAATTATTGTCAATGTCAATTATTTGGTCAACTAACGGTCAAACTAACAGAAATCATCCATTTGAACTTCATCTGCGATATTTTCAAAGATTTGATACCGTAGATGGTACAAATGAAAGGATTGGGCAAAATCTATTGCTAAATGAAAGATTTGGTATCGTTTGTGCAATTATCCCTAAATTAAAAGCTACTCATTTTGCAAACATGCACATATTAACTTAGTGGCGATGGCAGTGAAAAGGAAATTCACCAAAAGAAAGGTAAAAGTCGAATCTACGGTACCAAACAACGGATTCCCAACCTTACACGGAGTAGAATAAAACGTAATACCTTTGCAACTCCATCAACAATTCAATTGAATATCATGCTTGTGAGTTGTGACGGAGCTCAGGAATTCAGTCCTGCATCTCGTGTTACTGATCCCAATTTAACCGGTCAGACTTTTTTTTTTCTATATTATTTTTGTGTTTTTATTGATATTTTGTTCAATTTTGTTTTCGAATTCGGTGTTTGTTGGATTGAGATTTTTGTCATTTTTATAGTTACTTAACAAACTTGAATTGTGTATTTCGGTGTATTATGCAATAAAGGATCTCTGAAAAATTTTGCAGTTACGCGGGCTATCGGACCTGTTATTCGGGCTTGTGAGTTTTCAGAGTATGGAGGTTTCTGTGAAGTAATTTAGAAAATTCGGTCTTAATATCTTCTTGGGGAATCTATTTTTGCCCCCTTTTTTCTTTTGCTGCTGGTTTCTTGAATTGAAAATAAAAAGGTGGAATCTTTTCGAATATAAGCACTTAGATTCTGTTAAAACTCCTTTTGCTAAAAGGAGCATTCCAGCCTTGCTTTAGGATTATTATTGGTTTATATACCTTTCGTAAGGTTGATGTTGCTTTGGGTAGAGTAGTTACTTCATTGGAGTAACAATAGTGACAAGCAGTTGGATTATTGCAAAACGGAGAAGTATATAAGGATTTGAAAGACATGTCGTCGAGATCGACCACAAACGAGACAAATTGTTCTAAGAGCAGCTCTGTTAGATCAAGGCGTGGTGCCCATGTTGTCTCTCAGACGCCGATTGATGCCAAGCTTCATGTAGACTTTGAAGAGTCTAAACAACAGTTTGATTACTCAACATCTGTCAATGCATCAACTTCCACTAGCAATGTTCCTTCTTCGACTGTGTCAGCTTATCTGCAGAAGATGCAAAGAGGGAGCCTTATCCAGCCATTTGGTTGCTTGATTGTGATCCATGAAAAAAATTTGAGCATTCTTGCATACAGTGAGAATGCACCTGAAATGTTAGACTTAGCACCGCATGCAGTTCCAAGCATGGAACAACAAGAAGCTTTGAGTTTTGGAATTGATGTTCGAACACTTTTCCAACCTTCAAGTGCTGCTGCACTGCAAAAAGCAATCAATTTTGAGGAAGTTAATTTAGTTAATCCAATTTTGGTCCACTGTAGAAACTCTGGTAAACCCTTCTATGCTATTTTACATCGAATTGATGTTGGATTAGTTATAGATCTGGAACCGGTGAATCCAGATGAAGTGCCAGTGACAGCTGCTGGAGCTTTAAAATCATACAAGCTTGCAGCCAAAGCTATTTCAAGAATACAATCTCTGCCAAGTGGAAATGTATCACTGTTGTGTGACGTGTTGGTTAGAGAAGTGAAGGATTTAACAGGTTATGATAGGGTAATGATTTATAAATTTCACGAGGACGAGCATGGGGAAGTTGTTGCTGAGTGCCACAGGCCTGGCTTGGAACCTTATCTTGGATTTCATTACCCTGCAACTGATATACCGCAAGCATCGAGATTTCTTTTCATGAAAAATAAGGTTAGGATGATATGTGATTGTCGGGCCCAGTCTGTTAAAGTAATTCAGGACAAGGGATTGGCTCAACCACCGAGTCTTTCTGGATCCACTTTAAGATCTCCTCATGGATGTCATGCACAATATATGGCAAATATGGGTTCGATTGCATCTCTTGTGATGTCCGTGATGATCAATGAGGAGGTTGATGAGATTGATGACAATCAGCGAAAGGGAAGAAAGTTGTGGGGCTTGATTGTCTGCCACCATACGAGCCCCAGGTTTGTTCCTTTTCCTTTGAGGTATGCGTGCGAGTTCTTGGTTCAAGTTTTTGGGGTTCAAATCAATAAGGAAGTGGAGTTGGAAGCTCAACTGAAGGAGAAGCATATTTTGCAAACGCAAACTGTGCTTTGTGATATGCTGCTAAGAGATGCCCCAATGGGCATTGTTACTCAGTCACCTAATGTTATGGACCTTGTGAGGTGTGATGGTGCTGTACTTTTCTACCATGATAAATGCTGGTTGCTTGGGGTCACTCCTTCAGAGGCACAAATCAGAGACATTGCTGTCTGGCTTCTAGAGTACCATGGCAGTAGTACTGGATTAAGTACTGACAGCCTCATGGAAGCTGGCTACCCCGGTGCTTCCATTCTTGGCGATGCTGTATGTGGAATGGCTGCTGTTAGAATTAGTTCTAGAGATTTCCTCTTTTGGTTCCGTACGCATACAGCTAAGGAAATTAAATGGGGAGGTGCAAAACATGATCCAAACGAAAAAGATGATGGAAGAAAAATGCACCCTAGATCATCATTCAAGGCTTTCCTCGAGGTGGTTAAGAGACGGAGCCTACCATGGGAAGACGTGGAAATGGATGCAATTCATTCCTTGCAGCTTATATTAAGAGGGTCATTGCAAGATGAGAATGATGCCCAAATGATTGTCAGTGTTCCAGCAGTTGATACCAGCATACAGAGGGTGGATGAACTGCGTATAGTGACTAATGAAATGGTTCGCTTAATTGAAACGGCATCAATACCTATTTTGGCTGTTGATACCTCTGGCCATATCAATGGATGGAATACCAGAGTGGCTGAACTTACAGGGTTGAGTTTACAAAAAGCTCTTGGTAGGCCTTTTATTGATCTGCTGGTCGACGAAGCAGTTGATGTAGTGAAGAATGTGCTCTCCCTGGCTTTGCAAGGTGACTCTATCTCTGGTCTTCTTGTTCAGCAACCTTTTTTCTGAAACTTTTTTCCAACTAAAAATTATAGATTGCTGGAGGAAACCACAATTTTATTTAGGTTGTTTAAATATGTTTTAAGTATCATCTCTTTGTGAAAATACACGTTCTTAGAACCTTAATCATTGAGAGAACCGAGAAAGAGACTGACTGAGAGTCGGTGACAGAACCATTGGGTTTGTGACACAATAATCCAATCATCTATATTTTATGAGAAGATACAGAAGGGTGGGTTACTCCTTTTTGTGTGTGTGTGTGTGTGTGTGGGGCATGGGTGGGGTCGAGAGAATGTGAAACTGCATAGAGAAAAGTGGGTTTTCAGTGGACCTGTACCAGGAAGGGAAGTTGGTCACTAGTACTGAATGCACTATACTCCAAGTACTGCACATGAAGAGACTGTAAAGGATGCTATAATTTCAAGACTGGTGCATTGTATTGCTTCACCCTTAAACATGAAGTTCTAGAACCATTAGCTATGTTCTGCTACATGACTTTGTTAGTTGGTTTAGATGAATTTCCTATAACAAGAGATTTTCCTGCTTATGTGCATCCAAAAGTCATTTTTCGTTTTTCTGTTTTGAAAAAGGAAGATCTTGCACATTGCCTGTCCAATCTGATGAAACTGAGCTTCCAGGTCTGCTTTTTGACACGCCGGGCCTTTCTGAAAAACTTCTAGCTTTGGTCTTTGGCTTAATTTCTCTTATTACCAACAATTACCCCCTGCTCCATTCGTTAAATGTAATAATATATCTTCTCCTTTTGTTTAAGATATATTCTTGCTAAGTCATAGCATATCTGATATGTCATTTCAGGCAAAGAAGAGAAAAATGTTGAAATCAAACTCAAAACTTTTGGGCCTCAGGAAGAGAATGGTCCTGTCATCTTGGTTGCTAACGCGTGTTGTAGTAGAGATGTGAAGGAAAATATTGTAGGAGTTTGCTTTGTCGGCCAAGATGTTACTGGGCAAAGGATGATATTGGACAAATACAATCAAATCCTAGGTGATTATGTAGGAATTGTTCGGAGTCCATGTGCACTAATTCCTCCCATTTTTATGATGGATGAGCATGGACGTTGTGTGGAGTGGAACGATGCGATACAAAAATTGTCTGGTCTAAAGAGGGAACAAGCCATAGACCAAATGCTTCTTGGTGAGGTCTTTACGGTTCATAATTTCGGCTGCCGGGTCAAAGATCAGGACACATTAACAAAGCTCAGAATATTACTCAATGCTGTAATTGCAGGCCAGGATGTTAATAAGTTGGTATTTGGCTTCTTTGATCAGCAAGGAAAATATGTAGAAGCATTAATTTCTGCAAACAAAAGGACCGATACGGAGGGCAGGATCACTGGGATTTTGTGCTTTTTGCATGTTGCTAGTCCTGAACTTCAATATGCCCTGCAAGTGCAAAGGATATCTGAACAGGCTACAGCAAATACCCAAACAAAGTTGGCTTATATCCGAGGTGAAATTAGAAACCCTTTAAATGGAATAAAGTGTTTGCAGAATTTAATGAAATCTTCAGACTTGAGTAAAGACCAAAGAAAGCTGTTGAAGATAAGTGCATTATGTCGGGAACAATTAGCCAAGATCATTGATGATGCTGATATTGAGAGTATTGAGGGGAGGTATGATCTACTAGCTTAATAATTTTGGTGAATGCATTAGCATTTTTCCTTGAGGCTTGCCAATAAATAAAATGTTACTGCTGAAATTAGGCTTCTAGGTTTTTCTGATGCATATGCTTGCATGTCCACGTCAAATATAACATCTCTTCTTCAGTACCTTCTCGTCCTTCTTAATTGATTATTAACTCCCCAATATAAGAAACTTTATTCAATTATCCGTTCCTTGGCCTACAATTAGCTTGTCTCAGGTCAATGAATTTCTGGAACAAGAAAAACAATAACTTCATCAAAGACATACTAATATGTCATTAGGGAAAGGATGACAAACAGGGCTTGGTAGATATGATGGCCTATGGATAAATGTAGAGACCTGGTTGACCATAGAAAGAATTCATAAATTGCACTCTCTAAATAATAACAGTACTGGTCCTGTTATTATCTAAAGTATTTTGGTAAAAATGACTCTGGCTTAATATTCTGCATTGAACTAGGAATTCTCATTACATGTTGTCAGTATCTAATTCATATTCCTGAAATGAAAGAATCACCAATGCTTTAAGGTGTCTGAATTGAGTTGATTGAGATTTAAAACTTGCGAGGTAATATTATGTTGCAAAAACTTTTGGAACTTGTTGTATTAGAGGCAGATGTACGTTTTGAAGCATTATTACTTATAAAGCTACTTATTTATGTAGGTGTGTGAAGTCGTAAATTTCAAAAAATCTTCATAACTACATATATCTAACACCCCCTCCCCCCGCCAATGAAAAGAGGAAAATAGGTAAAAAGGTAATCAGATAACAAAGGAAAAATATTAAGCAAAGTTGTTTCTATGTAACTATGCATTAGGAAGAAATTGCAGCAACAACAATTTTGAGATCTTTTTAGGATGAATAATGGCAATATGACTTGAATTTTTTAAAAAGAGTATTCCCATTATATGGCTTCATCTTTTGGAACTACCTCTCATTATCACTAAAGGAACTGAAAAGATTAATTGAGATAATAAATGGAGGACAATTTCCATATGCACTGTGTGTTATTTGGGTCAATATGCTTCTTCCCATTGTAATAGATTTCTTGGCAGCTTCTTGTATTACAAGATTGTTTGGACAGCCTACTTCTCACCTGATAAGAACTCTCTCATATTTTAATCACTTAATGTTATGCTTCATAAACACCAGAAGATACCTTTTTGGATAAGCATGATTTTTTTTTTCTTTCTGCACACATAGAGGACATGGTCAGTGGTGTACTTGTCAATCTGCAGAACTCACTGAACATGAAAAGGTGCAAAAACAAAATAATCGTGTACCATGATGGTGACGATCCATCAGGATTCTCTAAACACCAGCTTTCATCTGTCATTGATTTTTATCATGTTCTAAGGTTCCATGTCCCAAATTTTTATTTACATGGAAAGCAAAACAAGAACATTCTTAAAAGGAATATTGAAGTAAAACGGATCTGGCAATATTATTATGAATTCATGTTTTTGACTCCCAAGACGTCTCCTTTGTGGGATGATGTTTCTGAGGATTGTTGTTTCCTTTTCATTAATGGCCGAGTGGATGCTGTGCTGTGAGTGAGAATTGAGGTAGGAGTTCTTTTTCTTAGCCATCCCACTGCAAAGATAAGATGATGAAGTGTAGAACTCAGAAGCGACTTTTTCAGATTGACTCTGATTTGCTTTTACACCCAATTCCACTTGACTAGCTTTTGTTTTTGTTCAGTGGTTGATTATTGTTATTCCTTCATTATCATAATTATATTAGAATCTGTTGGCTGGTGCGATATATCTAATAATGAATTAGTTTGGTTAGGTAATTGTTTTTGTAGTGTTGCTTTGCATTCACAAGGTATGCTTTGTTAGATACAAATGCTTGTTTGGGAGAGATTTTAATTTAATTAAAATTGAAAATATAGCTGTTATTGAGTTCCACTTGTCTAATAAAAATAACAATAACGGCTAGTTTTTCAATTTTAATCTCTACCAAACAAGCTCTAACTGTAATTAATCTATCTTGACAAATTCCAGATGCTTTTGGACTGATCTTTATCCTTGTGCAACTCATTTTTCAGCTATACCGAAATGAAGTCTGATGAATTTAATCTGGGGGAAGCTTTAGAAGTGGTCAAGAATGAAGTTATGATCCTGACCCGGGAGCGGCAGGTGCAAGTTAGATATGATTTACCTGCTGAAGTATCATTCATGTATTTATATGGTGACATCTTGAGGCTTCAGCAAGTCCTGTCAGACTTTTTGGCAACTGCTATCTTTTTCTCTCCTCCTGAAGGATCATCAATTGAATTTAGGCTGATTCCAAGAAAGGAGTGTATCGGGACACTGACACATGTTCTTCATATTGAATTTCGGTAACTGATTTTCATACTAGTCAGCAAGTTTTTGTTTTATTCATTTGTTTCGTGTGAAATTTGCTGTGATTTTGTTTCGCTTGTTTACCTCAGTAATATTATTTCCCCTGGCAGAAGCATGGTGGCTCCTTGGCCACCCTGTAATCATTAGGTTTCAATTTTATTTCTCATTTGTTCTGAGTGCTTAATTGGATAAAATTATAATCTCCTTGTCAAAGTCAAACATTAATTTTAACTACATATTCACAACTACTACCCATGTATTGTCTGCAAATTTCGTGGGGCCCAATTCTTTTTTTCATTGTAATCCCATTATAATTTTATCGAAATAAGCACTAAGAAAAATATTACCAAAAATGCACTTTGTACTATGGTGTAGAGTGGGGTGGTGTTTTTACATAGGGGTATTGAAGTAATATCACAAATATAGATTGGAGAAATGCAGTCAATTCATGTTAGACTGTCTGAGTATAACATCTTCATTTTGGATTAAAATTTGGTAAAAATAGTATATATATAATTTATTATAGGTCTAATATAATACATCACTTTGGAAAAAGACGCTAGTCAATGAACTATGCTTACAAGTCACAACCATAGGTCGTGGGTTCAATGCTTTCACCCATGCAACTGGAAAAAAAAAAAAAAGTTGACTATTTAGTTGTTTTAAATGTACCACTTAAAGCGCACTTTACTGGATCAAGACCACAAAAGAAAAAACGAAGGCTAAATCACATGATATTATTTTTGTTTTAGGTGTATGTGTGTGCATCTGTCTTTCTATATATCTATCAATAATACTATTTACAAGTCATGACCAATGTCTCTGGATTGAAGAATAATTTCCCTTTTGTCTTTTTTCCACGGATATGCTATACATTGTTGGATCTTGAATGTATTATTACTTATCATGACAGGATAACTCATCCGGCCCCGGGGATCCCTGAAGAGTTGATACAAGAAATGTTTTACTATAACAATGGTGTTTCGAGAGAAGGTCTTGGCCTGTACATCACCCAGAAACTAGTGAAGATCATGAATGGGACTGTTCAATATCTTAGAGAGGCTGAGAAATCATCTTTCATTGTTCTAGTAGAATTTCCATTTGCTCGCCGACCACCTGCAGATGAAAGTGGTCTAAAATTAAAACAGGCAAAACTAGCTTGAGGTAGTGACAACGGTTTCAAGCTCAAAGATTTTACAATGGCTGCTCAAGTGGCATATAGTCCTTATAGGGACGTTGGGAGCATTCAATACCATTTCCTCCGGTCGAATGTAGGAGTTCAAAGGAATGCCTGTTACTTTGAAATTGAGCAGTGTATTGAACTTTTTCTGGGCATGACGTTAATGAGCTATTATAACTTTCAGAGATCTATGATTCTAATCAATTTGTTCTGAACGGAGTTCTTTCAAAGTCCAAGACAAGTTGATGCCAAACTTAGAATTGAAGCTGAAAAATGTATTTTGGTTGCCATACCTGGAAAAAGGATAACTGAAAAAGTCTTGTATTGAAATTGAGCAGAGATTGAATTTGTTGAGAAATTCCATTAATGAAGGGCGGGCCAAATATATAGTCTATATTGGAATAGGAGCAGTAGAATGTGTTGGAGTGCCATCCTTGTGTACAGATTCAGCCCCCATTTTGGCATTTTCAAATTCTTTTCCACTTTCTGTAGCAGCTGTCTTGTATGTATGTGCTGCAAATATAGTTTTTTTTTTCCCAATAAGTAACCTGGTGCTAATTGCTGTTCATTTATTTATTTATTTTTTAAAAAAAGCATAAGCTCCATTTTGATGTGTGTGTTTGAAAAAACATATTTTTGATCAATTTCCACAAGGTATATTTTCATTTAGTTTGGGCAATTGAAAAGTTCAGTTGAAATTCGATCACTCTTACAAGAGGGTTCCTTTAACACACTTCAGTCACATGGTCTTTTTCATTAATCGGGGATTTATTTAAAAATGTTCTTTAATGAAATTATAGTTAAGAGATGTGGTTCGTGTCACTATATATCTAGAAAAAAAATAAATCAGTCGTTTAAAAATGTTCGGACCCCCTTCCATGCTTTCTACCACAGTTTGTTCACACTGGATTGATTAAGTAATGTTATTTAGCATCATCGATGTTAAAACACTTTTCTAGGTGGTACTAATGCGACATTAAATAATAAATACAATTAAATGAGTCACATAATTTCTCCTTTCATTGAGCTTATCACGTAACATCACATAAATTAGTATTATAGCACTACTGGTGTTAGATAATAATATTCGAATTGATTGTAGAAAATTCTCCAAATAGCTCCAAGATCTTCCACCTCCATTGCCAGATTTTAAATCTAAACTTCGCATCGTTGGCGCCCCTGGCGGAGTAGCTTGACCTGGTTACTAATGTCGGAAATTGGTATCCAACTTTGACCAATGTTAACAATGTGATTTGCGCACTCATGATTGTAGTTTCTGGTCGTACAGAACAAATTTCATGTGAACAAGGAATTAATATCGAAAGTAAGCTTCTTGAAGCATGAAAAATAGTTGAAAATGAAATTGTAAAATGGTAGGTACGACTAGTCTTTGGAAAGGGGATGATCTACGGTGATAGCTCACTTG